TATATATATATATATATATGCAAATTATAAACGCTAGTTGTTTCGCATTAAGTATGTTAAATGCGTGACAATTAGCTGAAGTGTCATGTAAGTGAATCAATGAGACATTTTCTCTTGCGATTTTACAGGTGCAGTGTCAACAACAGGCGCAGCTGTTTCAAAGAGCTAGCGAAATTCATGCAGCAGCAAAGGAAACAGTGGCTCTGGCTGAAGCGCGATTCATGTCTCATCAGCATGAGTGGAATTTTGACCAGGCATGGCAGGATATGCTCAATCATGCGACTATTAAAGTAAATAATAAATGTAAAACGCATAGCATGATGATCGTATAATTTCCTTTCAAAGTATTATAAAACATTTAAAAAATATCCTGAAAAATATCTTATTTATTCCTGTTCACCCTACGTTAATTAATTCAATAATCGATTTCTAATAAAAAAAAATTTAATATAACGAATAGAATATAAAATGATACTTTTATTGAAGGTCATGGATGCGGAGAATCAAAAAGCGGAGTGCGGTCGAGAACATCACAGAAAAGCGATGTTATTCCATGACGCCGAGAAGAAACTACTTCAATTGGAAGAAAAACACCGACATGCAATAGTAAAAGCGAGACCGTACTTTGAGATGAAAACCCAGTGCGATCAAATGTTAGCTACGCAGAAGGAGAGAGTAGAATTCCTGCAACAAGCTGTTAAGGAAACCAAACGTAATTACGCAACAAGTCTCCGAACGTTGGAAGAAATTAGTAATCAGATTCATCAGCAACGAAGAGATTATGGTATGGAGAAATATATTTTAAAGTGTAAAACAACTATTTTTTTTTTTTATAAACGTTACATTTATTCTAGATATTGTGGCTAATGGACCGCGAGAACCTGGCGTCGGTGCCGAGCTTATTGGTTCAGACACGCATCAAAAGTATAAGAGCGAGTTCAACGATTCTGATAGTTGTAAAATATCTCCCATTAGATATAACAGAAACGAGAACAATGAAAAGTTATATGATATCGAGGTCAGTAATATATGTAATGATAAAAATCTTGTAGAAAGCATTTCAATGTCGATTTTTATCATTTATCTATAATTTACAGAAATCTTGTTTAATGAAAAACGACATGGAACATCTTGATAAAAGATCTGTTGATGGTAGCGAGAGCAAATTCACGCAATGGGAGCTCGAATTGCAAACCAGTATGGAAAAGTTAAATCGTTTGTCGATCGAAAATTCGTTGCGCATTAAGGAGCGCAACGCACAAAGTTCTTCCGAAGGACTGCAGGATGCAGTTAAAGTCAGCACCATGAATGAGACGTGCTACAATTCCTTATCTGAACTGTCTAACACGCATACTTCAAATCAGTTTACAAGATTAATTGAAAGTCCAGGGACTATCAAAAGGGGCAGATTTAGCGATAGAGCGCACTTATTAAAATCATGCTCGACGATTGATTCAACGACAGCGTTACGCGGTACATCAACGTTGGCGAAGAGCAATATTTCAAAATCATTGAATAATAGTCCAATAAATAGAGGTACATCTGATCTCAAGATCACTGGTTCAGCAAGAAGCGCAAATATATCGAAATACGTGCCAAACAAAATCTCTCAATTCAATATTAAGAATAGAAAAACGCAGAGCAGCTGGGACATTAATATCCCTTACAATGCCAATGTTACGAATAAAGAATCTGAAAAAGATAGCTGTAGTAATACAAACAATATTTTAGTTAATAAGAGCCACACTACAATACAACTTACGAATTTACATGTCGCACAAGTTTCTAATGTCGAGTTCCTGCCTAAGGAATCTAGTTTATCAAGACATCACATCGCAGCGGCTCCCATTGTCAGCCAGTATTCGAAGAGCTCGCATAGTGATGTCGCATTGTTGCAGACACAATCTAGCTCTAATTTGCAAAAAAGTGCGCCATGTAGTGCCAATTCCAGTCCGATAAAATTAAAGAATTTATTATTATCGTCCGCCAGATCCTTGGATACTGGAAGTGCGGACCAGCTCGACAAAGGTTCAATTTCCAAGAGGTTTGCGAGCAAAACCACCAGTATTAAAGAGTTACCGTTATTATCACTCTTCAGACAAACGTCCGCGTTATCGGCGCTTAGAGGCAAGAGTAGCAGTATGATCAATTTGAGCGGTAAACAAAACTTGAAAACGCTGCTGGAAAATTCTCCTCATCTGAGTAATATACAAACGATTAGCGCGGAAAGATTAGCGAACGTGAGACATAAGCTGGTCAGCGATTGTCCGGAGACAAAGACGGACGATGTTAAAAAATAAGTACAAGAATGCGATAAAATAAATCGCTTAGGATAAGTGATTTCTGCGTTTAACACGTGTGTAGAGATTTGTTAATGTCATTAATAAAAAACTTGGAAATGAAATGTTGCAACGGAAGCAATGTAGCTTTAACAACAATCGTTTTCGAGGAGTTACAAAAGATATTTCGATAGGTTTTGCTGCAGATTATTCAGCAACCAGTTATTAAATATATGCTACAATGTTAATTAACGATATGTATTATATAAATCGTCGCGAATTAGTTAGATATTAATAGTTTATTTGTATTAAAACGTAATCACAGCATTGCGATCAAAGAATGTGATCATTGAGGTATCAGCACGATTAAATATAAATCTACGCTCACACAATTTCAATTAGGTATATACCTACTGTAAAAAATCGACCAGGCGATGTACGCATCGTATCGTTTACTATTTTCTAATCTTTTAATATGTGCTTTTTTAATAAAACACGTGTTTCTTAATAAGCATTTACATGTGTATTTTATTCACGCGACCAGTGATTATTATCATAGTATTTAGTATAAGAAAATTAACTTTAGTTTGCAAGATACGCTTTTTTATGAGCATAATGTAAAAGTTTCGACCGTTATCAGTCTGCTTTTAATTTATAAATATAGAAAGTATAGCTGTATCATAGATAACAGATATTTACATATCGGACATTTTTCGCACAAACAGATAGATATCGAGGTAGAGCGCATCGGTTGTACAATGAGCTAAAGGTCAATGGCTTTATATCGTGTATCGTTTTGCCAATGTAAAAACAAACTTCTATATAAATTAAATTTAGAACGATTTTAAAAGGAAATCTTGCTTTCCTGCGGAGGAAAGCAAGATGATTCATGCATCGAATTTTCTTGCAACGATATTATACTGATATCGTTGCGACCTGTTTCTTCTTTGTTCCGAGAGACTTCAAGATGGCCTTACATCTGATCTAAATACCGTGGCGTATCGAGCATTTTCTGGCTCTGACGAATGTAAATTCTCTTAGACTAAATTACAGCGAATCGAGAACGTTTGTCAATTAAAGTTCAATCGGTTGTCAAATAATTTATTTGTCACGAATCACTTCGGAAATTCAAAAAATTCATCTTGCTCTACAATATATTTCTTCTTTAAATTCCGTAGAAATATACTTAATTGCTAAGGAGAGAAAATTATTTCCTTGGATCTGGGTAAGCTTGTCGATAAGTAGTCGGTCATTTCTTGTAGGTGTATAATCAGTATAATGTTTAATGCAATAATAACACATACAATGCTTAATGATAAATTGTTTGCCTAATTTTGAGTCAATTAGCAAATTCAAGTAGATAAGTTATCTAAAAATAAAATAGCAAGTAAGGTATTTACGAATTAGTCTTGCGAGTATAGATATTCTCAATTAGCCTCAATTAATTTCATGATATAAATTTTAGTTAAAGAATTCAGTTACAGAGATACATAATGTAAAAAATAACAAAGTCGCGAAGAGAAAATGTGATGCTGATATGTACATCATTAAACATGAAATTATCAATAATTTTATGAAAGATAAAAAAGTACATTCATAAAGATGTTTTGCATGACATGTGCAAATTGAGTTTCAGACACCGGAAACTACAATCTTGAATGTTATGTTAGACGCTCGTGGCGAAAATCAGCCGATTACAGACACACACGTCATCGACGAAAGGTTATCAAGACGGTGATAAGAATTGTCGACGAAGCTTCGCGAAGAAATGGATACCGAGAGGGTCGATTATAAAGCCGCTAAAGCCGACGGCCGCGTGACAAATAATCATCGCAAGGCATGTGATATCTGTACGCACGAGACTGCGGACAACAAAGACGCAAATTGCATGCGCTTATCACAAAATTTACTCGATAAAAAAAGATTATACATCCTTAATATTTTTACATAACTTTCATAAACACAGTGTATATTATTTTCTCATCAATCATAATCACGAGCATAGTTCATGCGATAAAAGTAAATTTTGAAAAAATTAGGTCTATTTTTTGCGAAATTTAATTACTATAAATATTGTTTATCGATGTTAACTGTAAATTTAACGATAAATATACAGTTAATTAGTATATTAATATTTATTTGCGATAACCAATACACTGAATTTTTTTTTAATTAATGATTTTGTTCGCTCGAATATTCTCGGCAATTTTGCTAAATTAACGCTGGACTTGTCCATTTAAATAAAGAGAAATATATCTATTTATTTGTCTGCATACCTCGTATTGTAGGGATTAAATTATCACCATCTCGTTCGAAAGTATTCAGATAATGAAAACAGAATGCAAAAAAGGAAGGAATTCTGTAGCGAGACTACGGAGGATGAAGCAGAAGAAGATCGGGAAATTGACGAAGATCGGAGCGAAGACGAAGATATAAAAATTCAGAAAGTAAATACAAATCAAGAAGAAATGAATGAAAATGAGCAGAAAACTGCGCAGATTGAACAGTGCGCGATTTGTCATGTTATCATCAACGATACAAATCTCGGCGGAACCGTCGCCAACTCCGAACAGAATCCACACTGTTCCGAGGGCTATTTATTATGTCAACGTTGTGTACAAAACTTTTCAATCCGATCAGGTCAATAAAATATTTATCATAACTACTAATATATGTAGGGATCTAAAAAAAGGAAATTTAAGATTTTCGGAAAATTTTTTGTACAACACATATTACATATATTTAGCATATATAATAATAGTCTAGCATATATAATAATAATCTTTTTAACTCGTAACACGATATATTTTGTGATGTAAAGAATCATATAAGGCATTAAATTTTTTGTTATTACTTACTTTTAGAAGTTTTAAAATTTTCAACTATACAAAAAATACTTGAACTTTGCATAAATATAGTATGACAATTAATCTACATGAGTAAAACAAAACTATGAAGAATAAAATTATGGATAGAATTATTCCAAATCATTACACTATTTAAAAATTAGAAAAATATTTCAGTCACTAAAACCTACATATTCTAGTAACGATAAATAAAGTATTATATCTAATTAGATAATCTTGCAATACTTATTCCTTCTAAGGCGAAAGAAATCAACATTCCAAAGTAGAAAAATTTTTAGAAAATCTAAGCATTTAGATAAATCTCTAAATAATGACTCATGACGATAATTAATCAGTTAGCATATGCGATTAATTATCGTCACTTTCGATAAAAATTAAATATCGTATGAAATGAGAGATATATATCCTTTAGTTACGGAGCATCCTCAACCTCGAAGATCACATACTAGTTTCTTCCAAGATAGAGACAGCGATCACAACATACATTCGAGAACGTACGATCCGCATCGTAATCAGTGGGCTTGCAACTTCAATAAGGCGATATCCGGCGAAGGGAATAACGAAACATTAAATTACGAATCGGATGCCATCTCATACGTCGCTGATCGCGATCGAGGCAATCTGCGGCGAGAAGAGCAAGTGGAAAGTTGCGAGAAACATTATCAACAGCAGCCTGGCTATTGCAATCTAATGACAACGATGACAAGGAGAAATGGCGCAATAGATCGATACTCCTCCGAGAGCAAAGTCAAAAGTCCCTCTTTGGTCGATTGCTCCCGCAGACCCATACGTTGCCCACGTCTAGACTGCTCGGTAAACGTCGCCTTCTCGGCACTCACCCATCATTTTCTTTTCGATCATCCCGAAGTGCCCATCCTCAGTGTTGAACCCGGTGCTGAGAGCACACTCATCGTCAGCTACGGAGCTCTCTCCTGCAACTCCAGTCGATGTCTAGCTCTCTTACTGGTGTCCGGAAAACTCTCGTTAGTATAGTATCATCGTTTAAACATTGCATAAAGGTAGTGCGTTCGATATATAATTTCTAATTCTTTATTTCTTAAAACAAGTGATCTCTTTTAATAAAAAAAAAACATCGAATAAAAATTTGATTTAAAATTAAGAGAGAGAAATTTCTTAGATAAAACCATATATTCGCAATTAATGTTATAACGTGTCTAACTTAACTAATCGTAGAAATTATCGTAACAATAAGAGATTCCTCAGCGAGGCTGTTCGGTAGCATTCAAATAAATCCTAAGTATCGGAATCGATTGCCTCTGCCGGTGTTGGCAGCGCGTCTGCATAGCAGCCACAATTACGCGTGTCGTGAGGAGATGCACGCCGGTGGAGAAGGTCATTGCGAGAAGGATATGATCATTGCCTGGGTGGCGGGATTAGACGTCGGCGACACAGCTGACAGACTTCGGTGTAGCATTCAGGTATTCGCCATCGATTTGTGTATATAAGAAAACATATCAGTGCTTAGATGGATAATGGACACTTGAATGGTTTAATAGGCTGTCGATAGTATCGAGAACGGGGGATTTCGTTCGCTCACGTACACAGGCCCTGTAACGTCTCTGAGAATCGCTCAATGTCCACGTGATGTCTTCTTGGCTGGTGATTGTATAGTTCTCCACGAGGGATTAATCAGCCATATTACCTCCGGCTGTACTAGTCTCAATGTAAATGTTATTGTACATTAAACATATGTTCAGTTAACACGTATGTCTTTGCTTCTGAAATAACTATTTAAAAAATGTAAGCCCATCCAATATAAATTGGAATCATACAGGAAAAACGAATAGAAAATCTGAAAAAATTGCATCTTGTATCACGCAATAATCTCGTTTATTTCTTAAAAATATCATTCATCTTTTAGCCTAATAATTCATTTTTCCATTGCATCATCCGGACTAATAATCTGATGTACATATTTAAATAAAACATTAATTATCTCGTTCTTTGCACATACTTTGCACGACAAATACAATATATAAAAGGACGATACAAAACGATAAAAGGCAGTATTGCGAAATTACTTAAAAAAATCAAGCGAGTTTTTTCCTTCCCTAATAATTCGAATTATAAGCTAGTCATGGCAGGAGGCCGCGCATACGCTTTAGGAATGAAACCATACTTGCGAGTCTTGGGCGCGTAAGCCCAGAGCCAACCATCCACTGTTTGATTTCCCAGATCCGCGTATATCCAATCGGCTCGTTTTACCGATAGATCGTCTGGCGCTTGTGCCTTGTAATCGTAAAGCACCACTAACTCCGTACCAGTCGTTTCGTCCCGGAAATCTCGCACTCCCTTTTGTTGTAACGACTCGCCTCCCGTACCTTTACCTGCAAAATGAACACTGTCAAATCGATAATTATAAAAGGTTGATAACAAATATAGTCCTAATTATTAGAAGTTACAGAATTCCATTGAACTCCTATCATTGACATATATATATTCTAGAAAACTTTTCCAGAGATTTAACGATTGAATGATGTAATGGTTCAACAAAGAGCCAACCTGAACTATGAGTGTCTGTGGATGCTGTATTTGTAGAGATAGTGGTGGCCGTCGTAGTGGCTGTCGCATAAGAATGAAGAACATGACCAGGATAAACGAAACCTGACGGTACAAAACCCTCATTGCCATCGCAATGTCGGAGCACCCAAAACCAATCCGGATCATCGCGATTCAACACGGTTACGAACTCGCCTCTTTCGACACTAACATCATTTTCGTCTCGTGCCACGAAGGTGTAAAGAACAATGTATCTTCCGGCTGATGGATCCTGTGGAACGGTAGAATTTCTCGCTGATGAATCAAACGAGATTAAAAAATACTATACTTAATTCAATACTATACTTAAAAAATACTATACTTAATTCACAAGTGCCAATATTTTACTCAACCAATTAAAAATTTTTAATATCGGAAAGATTTTAATCCTCCGAAGTCAAAGCCAAAATCTGTGACACAATTACTGATGCTGAGTCTGTGAACTATTTAATTTATACAGTGTTTACAATATAATATTATGTCTTTTATTCCTTGAAATTAATTGATATTTAATTTGTTAATTAAAAAGCACTGATTAATTTTAAGAATTAAAAATGACTTAAAAAAGAATAAATACTAAGTGTAGCTTAATAAAAGAATAATTCAAGTCTACAGAGATGTAACATAAAAAATATCGAATTGTTTCACATTTTTGAGAGATTTAGAATTGAGTGGATCCAATATAATAGACATCAGGTCTGCAGTGCCAGGTGAAAACTTAGAATGAACTTATATTGAATTGGGAATAGGGTGTTTTTATGACATTCGGCTAATCAATTGATACCTTGAAAAAGGGGTGTACGTCCGGCTGGGACGATATAGTCTGTATAGAATTCTGAGACTGCGTGATGTTGGACCGATTAACGTTGACATCCGCGGTAGTAATGTTATTTCGTGCGTAGCTCTCACAATCCGAGGCCGATCCGGTATCGGTCTGTTGCGTCTCCTGCAAGCGGCCTGCACTAAGAAGATCACAGTCATTCTCATTGGACCGAGGCAACTTCTTTTTCACGTTGTTCAAATTGGCCAGCGTCAATTCTGCTAGCTGCGATGTGTACGGTGCGCAATACGAGTGTGGCACGAAACCTTCCATACGCGTGTCCGCTGCTATTACGTATACCCAATCGTTTTCTCTGTAAAGCACATTTACTACCTAAAACGTAAAGATTCCTTAATGCTATCTTTTTTTAACAAACATATAATTTCTTAATGTTTGTTTTGTATAATTTTTTATGCTAGCAAAAGAGGAGATAAAAAAAGACTTAAATAGAAATAATGAGGACTCTTGACAAATTAAAATAAAATTGAGTTAAAAGGAGAAGACATGCAGATTATATATATTTGGGAAATTGCTACATATGAAACATAAATAGCATGCCGCTTGTAATATAGATCTGTCGGAGAACAATCAGTCGCTAACCTGGCCTCTTTTGACTTGAAGTTCATCATCCACGCAGGGAGTAAAGTCATGCACAATAACCATTTTACTGTCCGGAGAGAGTCCATTCTCCTTTTCAATACCAACTCTTACAAGAGTTTCAATACTAGCGCTTCCAGTTATCCGACCTGGAGGTAATGGTACTCTGGTACCCAGACCGAGCCCACTGCCACCTGTTCCACAGTCTTTCTCCAAATTAAAGTTGTGTATTCCGGCTATTTGGAATTGAAAATTTATTATAATATATATTCTGTGAATATATTTTCACAGAAAAAAAAAATAAAAATTCGATACTTTCAAGAATTTTATAATTTTAT